AGGTTTTTTTATGTAGTCTAACTTATCCATTTTTTCCTTTGTTGCTTATACTTTTGGTGTCATGTCAGAGAAACCACTGCTTAACTCAAGATCACAAAGATTTATTCCTATGTTGTTGTCTTCAACTTTTATAACTTTAGCCCTCAGAGTTGGGACTGAACGATTTTACTTATGTGTATGATGTGAGATAGGTGTGCATTTTCATTCTTCTTCATGAGAATAGCTAGTTGTCCCAAAACTATTGGTTGAAAAGACAGTTCTATTTTCCATTGAATTGTCACCTTTGTTGAAAATCAGTTGACCATAAATGTGAGGCTTCATTTCTGCACTCTTAGTTCTGTTTCATTGATCTGTGTCTGAACTCACACCAGTTCTACCCTTTCTTTGAATTATGTTGAACTCAGAAAATTAATTCCTCGGACTTTGTTCTTTTCCAAGATGGCTTGTCTATTCTGAGACTTTGTATTTCCATAGGAATTTTAAGGCCATCTTATGAATTTCTGCAAAAAGGTCAATAGATTTCGAGAGGGTTTGTGTAGAGGCTGTACAAATTGAGGTCACTGTAAGGCATATTGCCATCTTAAACAACTCTTATGACCCAGAATGTGGGGTTTAAAAAAATGTATTTAGAATTTCTTTCATCCTGTGTTAAGATGTTTTCATTATCCACATCTTGTACATCTTTCACTAAAATTGCATGCTACTCTTTTTAGTGTTGTTTTACATAAGTTGTTTCCTGGGTGCTTAGTTTCAGAATGTTCATTTTTAATGTATAGATATAGAACTGAGTTTGGTATTTTGATCTTTTATCTTGAAAAGTTGCTGAACTCATTTAACCTACTCTCTAGTGAATTCCTTAGAATTTTCTATACAATATCTTGTTATCTGTGAATAGAGTTTTATTCCCTCCTTAACAGTCTGGATGCATTCATTTCTTGTTGTTGGATAGTTGCCCTGGCTATTCTCTGATACAGTGTTAAGTAATGAAAGCAAGCATCCTCCTTTTGTTTCCACAACATATTAAATCTTTCAACAGTAAATGTGATGTGAACTATGGTATGTTTTGTAGATGTTCTTTATCAGCTTGAGAAAGTTCCCTTCCACTCCAAGTGCTGACCATCTTTATCATGAAATGATAAAATGATTTTGTCAGATTCTTTTTCCATGTACTAAAATGATGGCTCTTTCCCCCTCTCTATTAATGTTATATTACATTAATCATTTTTTTGTATATGATAAAGCAACCTTCCATTACTGGGAAAAATCCCATTTGGTCATAGCATATACTTTTCATATGTTCCTGAATTCAGTTTGCCAATATTTTGTTGAAGACATTGTCTCCCATCATTCATAAAGATGTCAGTTTCTGGTTTTCTTCTCTTGTGATCTCTTTTTCTGGCAATGTATCAGAGTAATATCAGTCTCATAGATGAACTTAACTGATCTGTTTTCAAACTTGTTGATTCTTTTTCTGTCAGCTCAAATTGATTATATCTGACTTTTTAATTTTCATTATTGTACTTTTCAGCTCTGGAATTTCCATTTTGTTTTTTTTAATAATTTTTATTCCTCTATTAATATTCTCTGTTTGATAATGCATTGTCATCCTGCCTCCCTTAATCTCTTAGTCATGGGTTCATGTAGTTCTTTGAACATATATTTAATAACTATTTTGAAATCTTTGTCTGCTATGTTCACAATCTAGACCTCTTCCGAGGGCAGTTTTTTTCTCTGTATCAGCCAGTTTCTTTTCTTTCTTCTTCTTCTTCTTTTTTTGGTTAATTTCTCAGAATTATTTTTAAAACTGAAAATTTTATATAATTTATTTGAGCAACTCTGCATACCAATCCCTGCCATGTTTATTGTTTCCTTGGTCATTTGCTTGTTTGGTGACACTGCTAAGCTAGTTCTACAAAATCTATTTTCTTCACAATGTTCTTCTGATGTTCTTATTCACATTACCCCTTCACTTCTTATTTTTATCTTTTAGTTTGACTAATTCCACATCATTTCTGGTTTGGGATAGGCCATTTATCAAAAGTTGTACTTACATTCCTTGAGCCAGTTAGAGCTTTACCTTTAACTTTTGATATGTATGGTGGTTTGGAAGGAGCTGTTACAGTTGGAAGTTTACTTTTTATTTATTGATTTTTCTTTGCTTTGCATTTAACCAAGTACTAGTATTTTGGAAGATCTCTCCTTGATAAATGGGCATGCACAAAGCCTTCCCTGCTACCAGAATGACTATGCTACTGAGTCTGGCTTTATAGCAGTCACCCGTGCTGTTGGTCAGAGTAGCTTCTCGTTCAGTCAGCATCTGGTAAGGGTTGTGTTTAAGCCTCTTATTATGCCAGTGAGACTTCCATCTTGTTTTGATGGGACTGTGCGCAGATGAGGGAATATTTTCAAGCCCCCCTCAAGACACCCTCTGATTATTCTTGGATAGATATAGCATAGTGCTTGTGCACAACCTCCCTAGGGTTGACAAATTCCAGGAGAGGTTTCTTAATCATTCCTGGTTCTCTGTATGTCTGCCTGTTCTGCCATCCTACATGTATCAGAGCTTCTGCCGCACCTTCACTGTTTTTTATTAAGATTTATGTTCAATAATGCCCTTAGGCATGGAGTTCTTTACTCTCTTCCAAATAGTCAGCCTTCTTTCTCCTTATGGTGTGACTTTCCCCTGGGTAGATCCCTGTCACACTGCATCTAGAGCTGAGGTAGGAGTTCTCTTTTCCCAGAGTGATACTGCACTCTTTGGGTAGGCACTGGGCGGCAGTGGAGGTGGCAACCCCTGGTCTACTTTTCCAGGAGTGGAGCATTTCAGTTGAACAAACTGGGGTGGTGGTGAAGAGGGCCCAGCATTCTCAGCCTGTTAGGCAGGGACTAGAGCTTCCATCTAGGAAGCAGGGCTTGGGCTAGGGAAAGGAGTTGGTGTTGCCTGTCCCGAATCGAGCTGCTGCACCTCTGGGCTGAAGAGGATGAGAAACCACCTTCAGTCTGTCTCTTCTAGAGTGAAACTCACCCCAGACTGGGAGCTGAAGGGAGAGGGAGCCCCTGTCCTCTTCACTACACACTAGAAGTAGATTGTCCATAAACAGAGCTGGTGCCTCTAGGAAAATTTCCAGAGGCTTTAAATGATTTAAAAAGTTAAGATAATGTTAAATGTTGTTTTGATAGGAGAAGGTGCACTGAGCACTTAGATCTGTCATTCCAAAAGTTCTGCTGTTTTTAAGTTTTTAGTATCAAATTTTAGATCTCCTTTGTATGAGAAAGAAAGAAGTTTTTACTACCAAATATGATTTACTCAAGGATTCCACATTACTAGCAAAATAATTAGTTGGTGATTGTAATATACTTAGCGGAAAGCTTTTAACTCAGCTGGAAGATGGCATCATTTCCCTCAGATAAACCATAATTTAGACTTTCAACTCCTCTTCCACAAACCCTTTTAATTTGATATTTCAATCTGTTCCCAAATTCCCTAAAGATTGTCTTTGGAATAGATAGCATTGTAGACATATTCCATCAGAATTCATGCCATTGCACTTGAAAATTTATGAAGTGCTTTGCTACTTGAAATAAGCTTTTGTTCTTCACAGCTTGATTTGCAGGAAGTGTTATTACCTGCCACTTAAAAAGGAAGATCAAGGCAGAGTGTGTCATTGTGGCTGAACTAATCCACACAGCTTACATTTATTAATTGCTTAATCCATGACAACAACTCACATACCTTCCTCCTTATTGCTTACAGATGTGTCCTAACCTACCATCATTATTACTACAATTATAAAAAAAAAAAATTCAAAATCATTAACTTAAATTTGACTTACCCTTTGAGCCTAAAGATACAGAATAGCTATTTTTTGGAGGGAAACTTATGAGAGAAAACTGTAAGATTTAGTCTTATGAAATGAATGTTGGAAAGAAATCTATGGCATCTGTGAAGCAAAGCAATTAAATTAAGCTTTGGGAACAGTAGAGAATGAACAACTGTCTGTATAAGAAAATGAGGCAATGGGGGTCGGCAGCTTAGGGAAGAACTGATGCCATTGCCTGGGGTGTTTTTATTCTTCTTTGTACTGCTAGCTTTCTAATTGTAGGCAAAATAATTGTATTTTTCTGCTACCTCCCCCCATCCACTGACTTCTCCTGCACTTTGGGTTGTGGGAGAATAAAACAGTGCAAGTTGAAAGAGTTTCTACAATAATAATATAAAAAATTAGCAGACAACTATAGATCAGAGACATTCTGTAGGGAGAAGGAGGTGGAAGAATCAGAGCAGGGGAGGGCAGAGCACAATGGACTGTGGTGATGGCTCATGGGTGAAATCGGTGGGGAGAATTTTATGGGAACTACACCTGAGAGGAGAAAGCCTGCAAGCATATGTTGTACAAAAATGAACAAATATGTAAAATATAAATAAATAAACAAGTAAGTAAATAAATAGGAAAAGTGTAAATTTTGAAGTGCTCTAGGAATGTGTGCTGGTGGGACCTGTGTGCAGTGCAGACCTCTGTAACGGGCAGAATACAAGATGGACCTACCTGGGTCCACCCGAAGCTGTGCATTACAAGAAGTTCTGCGAGAACTTTGTGAACAGTTATCTGTGAACTTGTTCCAGGTGTGACGTTGGAGAGAGCGAGATGCAGCAAAGCACACACATGTTGCATGCATTTATATAATGGGCACTTTCCTACTTTCCATTCCCTTTTCTACTAGAGAAAAGATAGACCTCATAGGGCTAATAGTTATCAGCTTCAAATTCATCTTTCCAAATTATCTAGTTATTTTTATGAGAAAAACTAGATTCTGGTCATTCTTGTTTTCTTTTTTATGTAAAGAATAGAAAGAAAGAGCAGGAGCTGTACATATTTAGCCTGTACAACTGGTCTTAAGTTTAAATCATTGCCTTTATTATGTGGGTAAAATATGCAAATTGTAGATCCTAAAAGTGAAGCTCTTGAGCCTAGGCTGATCAATTTTTTATTTCTTAGCAGCCAATCAACACTAAAACATGAAGGAAAAGTCCAGAAAATAATTACAAAGCATTCCTTGGAGAGAGTTTCCAAACCTAGAAAATAACAAGGCCCTTTCACTGCTCAGGTACAGTACTTGGTATTTTACCACACTGCCTCATTCATTTCAGACAACAATCTGATAAGCAAGGAGCATGTAATTGGCATTTTATAAAGAGAAAACCGTAGCCTAGACATGGTAATGGAAACTCATGCCAGGTTACATAGCTTTTAAAAACATGAATGGACATTTCAAATAATGAAATTGAAAGCCAATGTTTTTTGAGTTATCCAAGTCGGACTATTCTTTGTAAGAAGGTCAGAGATATAGAAAATCAAATTTTAAACAAATAACCATATGTGTCTGTGATTAAACACAGAAAAATCTGAAAGATACAATAGGCTGATGATTGGTCAACCCTAAGAAGGAGGGTTGAAAAGTACCAAGAATGGCAAGGAGGCAATAAAGTCAGTAGCTTTTTCTTGAGTGTTCTGATGTTGGTCAGTAGAATGTTTTCATGTATTAGATGTGTAAATCGAACAAATAATTTAAAAAGTCCTTATAGAATGAAGTGCAACCCAGGTAAAATGTAATCTTTGACTATCTTCTTTTTGCCCCTTTTCTGATGACTGCCTTTCCGGGATAATCTCCACCCACAAGTGTTAAAGACTTTTCAAAGATGAGTGAGCTCTACCTGATACAGCTGAAATCACAGAATCATGGATGAAGACGTATATAAGCCATTGCACCTCAGGACAGACTTGGATTTGAGTCCTGCCTTCCCAATTGCGTGGTTTCTCTGCGCCTTGTTTTCCTCATTTGCAAGTTTGGGAGAATACAGTACCAGTCTTACAGGGTTATTGTGAGGCCTGAATGAGTTATCTCTCCAGTGCTTACAACAGCATTTGGCAACTGGAAAAGCCTCATAGGGTTACTATTATCACTACTATTTCTATCATCCTAACATTCAGGAAAAAACTTTGATAGGTGTTTATCCTGAAGACTTCTTTCTGTGTGTGCACATGTACATGTGTGTGTGTGTACACGTTTGGATTCACATACATCCATGTAGGCATATATGGACACTTTTTTTTATGAAAATGGGATCATACTATTTCTGATTTTTATAACCCTTTCTACCAAACATCAAGTATTGTAAACATCTTTTCATACCAGTAAGTGAAAAGTGTTTGAAACAGAAATGAGGTATATTTCGTCTAGTCTAGTTGTGATGGCCTGGATCTTCTTGACCAAATGCACGAACATTTAAAATGAAAATTTCACGGCACTGTATCTAGAAGCTCAAGTGCTTATAGATGTTGATCTAGTTTACCCAAATGGTTGTAGACAGTGATAAATCCTGGCAAAGCATGTCATTATTGGTCTTATTTGTTGAGCAGTCATGTTTGACATTGTAAAATGTGTATCTTCAGAGCCAAGATGCAAGATAAAGTGGTATCTTTAAAAGCGACACTGTGGAAAAGACACTTAGAATACAGTTGTTTGTAAGAAGAAAAAATGTTTATAAAAAGTGTGCTACTTACTAAGAAAAATATTGTCCCCTTTACCTCTTTCTGGCTTTTCAGGAAATGTTTCATAAAGCAGAAGAATTCTTACCCCAAACAACAGACAGCGAGATGGCTGAGATGGACACATCAGATACCCAGTGGGGCTGGTTTTACTTGGCGGAATGTGGGAAGTGGCACATGTTTCAGGTACCTCCTTTCCTTGCATATGGCAGAGGGGAATTTAGATTCACTGGGCACCAACTTGCTGATGGATTTGATGAATGTGAATGCAGAGCTGGAAGAAATCAAACTTGAAGGAAATCAGCTAGCTTCACAAAAAGGAAAGTTAGAAATTTCTTCGAGTCCTTTCCCTTTTCTTCCCCCAGGTCTTCACAATATTTTATGTAGAAGAAGCAGTATGTATTGGCAGTGTGTGCTGAGGGTGACGGGGCCGTGAGTTGCTCTCAGTACCTCTGAACAACTCCACGTCTGATTTGGTAACAAAGAGAAAAAGATAACAAGCCCATATTAAATGCCTTCTGTCAGCCAGTATTAGATTAGGTCTTATACATAAATTTTTTCTTATCCTCACAACAACTCTGAAGCAATGATAACACTCTTACAGTCAAAGAAAATGACACTCAGAAAAGTTAACCTAATTTGTCCAGAGTCACACAGCTAGTTAATGGGTAAGCTGAGATTTGAACCCATAGGCAAAAGCTTGTAGTCTTTTTTTTAAACGACAAGGCTACATGAGATTTCATTTAAGCCACTTAGGAAGTATAATTGTTGTAGTAATTTGTAAAAATTGTTTTAATTTGGAAAAATGGATTATAACCAGTTGTTGAAGTGTCTTTGCTGGAAATCCTTAGACCATTTTCCACATGCTGGCTAAGCTGTGATTCTCCCTGTTGGTTGGGAACTAGAACATATGATCAGTAAATTTCCCTTGTCCTTCCATCCTCTGTCTCTGTGACCACAGTATCACCTCTGTGGCCAAGCCGTTAATGTGAACAACTGGTAAATGAAACTTTCTGGTTTGTCTTAAAGCCGGACACCAACATTCAGTGTTCAGTTAGCAGTGAAGATATCGAAAAAAGCTTCAAAACAAACCCTTGTGGCTCCATTTCTTTTACTACTTCCAAATTCAGCTACAGGATAGACTTTGCAGGTATGTTTTTTTTCCCTAATAGTTGTGTGTCTTTAGCATATTGGCATGATAAAAATCTATAGTTCTGAAGATCAGGGTCAGTCGATTATATTTGTAAGCGATGAAATCAGTCCTTTTTGTGAGACACAAAAATACCTCCACAAAAAAATCACAATTCAGTATATTCTTGAGCAGCTCTGCTTATCATAAAAGTATATCTACATGCTCTTAGAACTAATGTGTGTGGAGATTGTCATATGTTTGAGCTCATGTAACATTTCTCTTCTAAGGAACACAGAACACTGCTGTTGCTGCATTCATCATACCATCAGTCTTTCAGAATAAGTAGAAATCTTTGATCTTAAGGGTCAGTTTGAGAAATTAAGTGATAAAATCATAAGCAACTGGTGATTTCAAACCAATGTTGAACTGACTAACCCACCTTCAAGTGTCTTTGTCAGGAAACTATTTCTTTACTTATACCATTTTCTGATTTCATTGGCTCTTCCACTTATTAGCCAGCTAGTTTGCAGATTACCGATTTTGGATTTCACCCACAACATGTGGGTTTGTTCTTGAGGGTTCCCCAAACCCGTGGGATTTCCTTTCAGCCTCCTAGTTTCAGCTATTTGCTGCCACAAGGCAAATGAGATATGTAAAGGAGGAAACTTTCTTCATAAAAGTGCATTTCGGTTGCTTCACGATTCAGCCCACCAGTTGTTCTTCCCCTATTTCTATGAGTAGTATTTTTACAACATCAGCAGTGTCTTGTGGTGGGGGAGGGTAGTGGAACCTGAGGAAATTCCCTTGAATGGGCCAAAGCCAGAAATGGCCAGTTAAGAGGTTACTGAGACCAAATAATCTAGTACTTTTTGTTGCCACAAAGTCTGGGTTTATTTATTTATTATCAAAAGTTAAAACCATTAGATTCTTACTCCTAACTAACTATAACTTTAAAAAAAAATTATGTTAGGCAAAAATCTGCCTATAAGGGCTCCCTGCATTTGTCTTTCTACTACAGCCTGGACGGAAGTGTCTGTGGGTATCTAGTCTTGTGCTCGGTGCCATTTCACGTAACCAGCTATAGGAGTGAGTCCCGAAAGTACAGTTTTCCAGCACCATTGCTGAGGCACTACTGACACCCCAATGTGCACAGACATCAGCTTCCTGTACAGGACGGAGGTTGTTATTCTTGGCTCAATAACTCAGCATGCTAAATATTTCCAAATGAGTATTTTCTAGTGCTGTACATTTTGAGAGCTTCCTCTCAGACAATACCGGTTATTAAAAAGTATGTTCATTGAAGGTGAAAGTAATCTACATTCACTCATGCTAGAAGGATACTGTTTCAAAGGTGTAGGTAATATCGCCACACCTGGAGTGTTTGTGAAGGAGCCCCAGCCACACTGCCACTAAGCATGGTGAACCAGGAACTTCCAGTGAGGTAGTGTAAGTAGAAGGCACCACACAGTTTTCTCTCCAAGTGTTGAGAAGCGCTGGCTTTCTCCCTGTACTCTGGGAAATGCCAGGGTATACAGTCTAGGAGAATTTAGAGGCAGAACATACAGGAGCGTCTGCCGGGATGAATGACCCCCTTTATTTCGGAATGGAATGAAGCCACTAGACAAGATATATTGCCTAGAATTTCATAGTAAGACTTACTACTACTGAACTCTGTGGGAATGGAGAATTTACCCGGTAAACACTACCACAGCCAAGGCATAGATGAAAGAAGATGATGCCTTGCGTGAGTTAATCTTCTGTCACTAGAGTAGCTTACAGAAGTTAGTGCTGAGTATAGATAAGTTTTCTACTTTATAGCTTAGGTGTACACTTAAAGAAAAGGCAATAAATGCATTTGTGAAATTCCATGAATTATGCAAGTTTTATAGTGGCATGTAACATATTTGTCATTTCCAAAAGGTGTCAAGAAATCAGAGTACATTTTTTTCCCCACTTAAATAAGTGCTGGCATTTCTTTCTTTTTCTAGTGCTCTTAACTCCCTGAAGTTTGGAATTTGGTTTTCGTGTCAGTTTAGCCCATGTGCAATGCAGACAGGGAGGGCAGGTGTGCTGAACAGCCCGTGAGGTCGGAAAACTGTGGACTTAGAGCACGTGGCGAAGCCATGCTCCTCAGCCGTGCGGTTTGGACGTGATGCATGGCTATGCGGGAAAGCAGCCTTAACCTGCTTTTCTTGTTAGCAACTCCCAGAGTGCCATGCTTCTTGGTCATCACGGAGTGTGGCTGCAAACCTTTGTGAAAATTTATAGCACAATCTGTTTCTATGACTTATCTAATATCTCTGTCTTTGTACACAGAAATGAAGCAAATGAATCTCACCACTGGCAAACAGCGCTTAATAAAAAGAGCCCCCTTTTCTATCAGTGCTTTCAGGTATTGTAAAGAGAATAGGGCTAAAAAGAACGGGCTTTTCCTCTTCCTCTTTATATTGGACAGAGAAACAAATAGAACGAAGATGCATAGGTTATTTAATGATCCTAATATTGATCTGTCGTTACTGATGTCTTATTTGTTGATGAAATAACCGTTTTGGTATTTTTGGCCAGTGTTTCCTGACCTGTTGTCCTTTTCATTTCCCCTCGCATCGATTTTTCAGTTCTTTAGAACATTTGGCATGGTAGTTGCAAAATGCCTCTGGTCTCTGCTATAAATCCTTAAAGTAACCTACAGGGGTAAGTTTGGATTACCTTGGAAATACTCTCAGAGAACAACCCTGTCAGTTGAATCACAAATCCTAGTTCGTTGTCCACTTTGTCTCCACCTCCTCTGATCCCATCAGACAGCTCCTAGAAGTAATTGTAAGTTGGAGTGACTGGAGGAGGCCTGAGGAAGGCGGGAGCAGAGGGGAACAGCAGCACAGCTGCCTGCTCCCCCCAGCTCAGTTGCAGGTTTCCCTGTTTACTACTCCAGCTAGCTACCACAAGAAAAAGGAGGTATACGTGTCACAAGAGAATATTTGCTATTCTAGTGAGTGGAAGTGGAGGTAAAAAGTTTTCGAGTATATCACCTATGTTCTGGAATGATTCCCCAAGCAAGTATTGGAATTCTTCCTGTCTAAAGAACTAAAAATGAACCTGATGAAAACATGCAGGTTTATGAATTATGGGGAATATCCATCTGCTTCTCCCAAGGAGATACTCTGAAAGGCTAAAAAGAGGAGGCGTTTGAAGTTTCTGTGAGTTTGTTTCCTAAGACTTTTGGCTTATACTTAGTATCGTGATTTAAAGGTATTCAAGTACAGATAAGACATAGTATGTTCTGTGGAATATAAAGAGTATTATTTCCTTACCAGTTAAAAAATTTCCTTACTCTTAATTACAAAGAATATAAAAAAGGAAATACTTAATCTTCAAAGAGACTGTAATCTGGAGAAAAGTGAGACATAATAATGGGCAATGTTATAATTGTAATTGTATGTTGTTATATCTGGTATACTTTGGTGGGGACAGGAAGCACACGATGGGATCAAGTGCTTTGTTCTGTCACAGACTGTACAAACCATAGAACAGACAGGAGAGAGAGAGAATTAACCAGAATGGAGGACATAAGCAAGATAATGAAAGAGGAAGAACAGTTAGGTAGGAGACAGTAGAGTAATGAAGGTGAGTAGGTGTTGAAATACAAATGTTTGTTTATTTTAGGCAAATTCAGCATTTATGACATGCAGCGTGAATAGTACATGCTTCCTTGTTGGCAAAACACTTAAGAATAATTAAGGCGAGGGGTTACATTAGAAGTAAATACAAAACAAAAGCTTTCCATAACAATGAAAAGAGGCAAAGTTTAAAAAAAAAAGCTAGAAAAACTTGCTACTTATTGTAGACAAAGGGTTAATCACTGTAGTATTTGAGGTACTTCTAGGAATTTCTAATTTGAGTGTAAGAGTCAACTTCTCAAAGTAGAAGACCATCATTGGAAAGCTCACTAGAAAAATGAGCAAAAAATTTGAACAGGTCATAAATATCACCCATGATGAGAGATACAAATTATACCAGACTATTTTTACTATCAGACTGACATAAGTCCAAAATGTCTGATAACATACCTTTTTGGAGAGGGGTTTAGGAACCAGGAATTCTTCACAGTTGGTAGGAATTTCAGTGAATATAAGCTTTAGAAGGTATTTGAGTGGTATCTGTCCAAATCATGAATAAATATAGTTTTTGATCCAGAAATTCCATTTCAAAGTTGTTATCCTAGAAATTGACTAGTAGACATGTAAAATGGCAAATGGATAAACCTAGTGTTTGCAGTATTCTTAACAGTGGCAAAAAAACTGGAGACAAGCTAAAGATCAACAGTAGGGAACTTATTATCACTAATGCAATTCTTTGCACCTGACAGATAGAATGAAGTCATTGATTCAACCAGTATTTATTGACTGCTGTATGGCAGCTGTTGTAAGATTTGAGAATGTGTATATTCTCTATTTACTGATATGGAAATAAAAAACAAAACAGCTGCAAAGGACATAAGGTTTATACCATTTGTATGTGGGGAAATCTGTCTTGTCTTAGCCTAAAAATGTTCTGGAACAATAACCAAGAGACTAAAAATACTTACTTGGAACTGGGGCAGGAAGTGAGAATTGGGCAGATCAATGACTGGAATAGGGAGATACCATTCACTATTTGCTTCTTTATATTTACCAACTTTTAAATCATAGGGATGTATAATATTTTCAAAATTGAAATGAATTTTAAAAAATTAAACTAAAGACAAAGTTGAGATGTACGAATTTCTTCCAGTAACCTCCAGTTACCAGCAAGGATTCATGTGATAGCTTTAGCCTTTACCATTAAACCCCTCAACATCACCATCTTTTTCTGTGTTTTGTCACTTAAACATGATAGAGTGTTTTTTAAAAAATTTACTAACTGTACTAACTGAATTCATGTGGGCTGTGTAGGAGAATAGTGCCAATAAATCAAGAAAGGTTTAGATTTCGGTTAGATCTTGAAAGTACTGAAGGGTTTGGATTTGACTTGACAGACGCTGTAAATCTGTTAACGAGGTTGCTTTAAATCAAAAGTTTGATTTCCTTCTAAAATATTGTGTACATTTTCATGAAATGCTTGTTTTAGAAAAACAAGCCAGAATAAACAACTTTTTTTTTTTTTAAAGATTTATTTATTTGTTCATACAGAACTGGGGTACAGGCCAGAGGTTCAGGGGGGGTGAGAGGCTTCACCAGAGACAGAGTGGGGAGCAGAATAGGCAGATCGATGAAGTACACTGCTGAGGGGAGCAGTGGGCGGGTCAGGAGAGGTCTGCCATGCCATGTGGTCACCTCCGGGGCAGGCGGGAATCAAACTCATGCGGAAGTGGCTTTAGCTTCTCAGTGCTGTGTTTTAACCTGCTGCACCACCAGGGAGGGCCATAAACAACTTTTTTGAAGTTTGTTTTATGTTGGGATAGATGCTTTCTGTGCAAGTTCCCCGTGTATCACTATAAACACAGTAAGCATACATACATGTTTTAAAATAAAGAAGTGCTCCGCTTGCTTGCATTGCTCACAGCACCTCAAACATGAAAATTCAGCCTTGGAGAAAAGGCTAAATCATTAACAACAATTAGCAGCAATCAGCTTCTAATATTTTGTTTTGTCTTTTGCTATTTAAAGTTACATCTGTGAAAATGAGGCCATCCCGATGCCCCCGCACTGGGAGAACGTGAATACTGAAGTACCCTACCAGGTAAGAGCAGCAATGACTCTACTGTGTGAGAGGTTGGAAAGGACCCCAATCAAACTATGCCAACTTCTTTTTCCAGCTTATTCCTTTGCACAATCAAACACATGAATATAATGAAGTTGCTAGTCTCTTTGGGAAAACAATGGATCGCAACAGAATTAAAAGAATTCAGAGAATTCAAAACCTAGACTTGTGGGAGTTCTTTTGCAGGTGAGACAGTTTCTAATCTGAACCCTCTCCTTGGCCTCTAAGACTTTCCTAGAGTCTTAGAGATAGATAAGCACAAATGTTTCATTGTATTGCTTTCCAGTGTCACCAGAAGAACTGGGTTGCGAGCTGGCTTCTCTGCTTGCCATATTTTGATCTAGTCATCTCAGCCCTTCTCAGCATTCTCAGGGAGTGCAGGGCCGCTCTGATAAGTAAATGCCTGCACTGCTGTGTTTTAGAGGTCACACTCTCTTCCTGCTCCCAGCACCCCCATTTAGCAAGGTTTGCATCTTGCCTGGACTCTACATCACAAGGAAATCTAGGGAGATGTTCAGTTTTGTGAGTGTGACTTTGTTGGCTGAGATTTTTATGTTGAATAAGAAGTTTCTGCAAGCATCATGGAACTTTAAAAAAGATTTTAAGCAATTACGCTTCTCTTGTCTCTAGGCATTTGCTTGGCCTGTTTTGTTTTGAAGGACTCTTTAAAACATACCCTCAAATTTCTTTCATAGTCCAAAGTTTTTTTGTAGATTTAAAAATCTCAAGTCATTGCCCAATTTCTTTTGGAAATGACCCATTCAAACGCTTAACCTAAAAGTAAAGCCCAGAAAACTTAAGGGTGTTATCCAAATTAGCCAATTGTGCTCTATTTTTTTTGTAAGTACTACTAAACACAGTTTTTTTTTTTTCTGAAATACATTTATTAAGCATGTGTGTGAGAATTGATTTCTCATCTTTTAAAATGTAAACAGTGTTAATATTTATTCAGGAATGTTTCAAATATTACATGAATATACATGAACTACCATGTACCCACTCTCCTGATTAACATTCACCAAGACTTACCACATGTAATCTAGCTCCTTTTTGCTAACATTGTTGCTGCTGAAATATTTTAAAGTAAATCCTAAGCCTTAACTCTTTTTGTTCTTAATACTGAATTTTGTTTTTTATTTGTATTTTGATTTGTAATGTGCAGAAGGCTGGAATTCTTTCATGCTTTTGGTAAGGTAGATAAGATGGTCTAATATTTTCATCATAATTTATGGTAAAATAGGGGTTCTCAGCCATTTCCTGAAAACTGAAATAACAAATAACATAGTCAGTCATGCCTCACAACCTGGGCTCACCAGGTTGTCATCTGTTTGCATGTCACTTAGGCCTTTATTACTTCTCTCCCTTCTTTTCAGCAATCGTTGTTTTCAGCAATCGTTGTTTTTGATAGACTATTCTGGGTGCTTGGGATATACGAGAGTACAGGGTCAGAGCTTAGGCAAAGATCCAGGCCACTGGACCACAAAATGTAGGGTGAGCACAGGGCATGCTGTGAGCACTGCCTGAGGGTATCTGTATGCTCCTGCTGGCAGAAGGGGGCGTGCCTCAGAGTGGGTGCAGGGGCACTCGCTCCAGCAGATGCCATTAGCTCTAGGTGCAGAGGAGAGGGAGGCACATTCCAAGCTGTGAGGGCAAGCTGGGCTGCAGTCGGATACACAGGGGGTATAGAGCAGAAGGTTAGAGTGACGGCTGAGACCGAGGCTGGGCAGGTAGTCAAGAGGTAGAACATGGGACTTTACAGTAAGGACCGCTGGGGTGGCCGTGTGGTTTTATTCGGTGGTCTTACTTGAGTTGAACTGATTCAGGGTAGGAGTCAGAGAGGTGCCAGGGCCCAGGCCATGCAGGGCTCATGGGCCAAACTAAGGGGTTTGTATTTTCTTCCTGGGACACACGACAAAGCCATCGGACGACTTTACACAGGGAGCGGTGGTCTGATTTGCATGCTAGAAAATGACTCATCAGGCTCTACTGAAGAGGAGGAATCGAAAGCAGTAGCTCTCAATCAGGAGGGACTTTGCCCACAGGGAACATTTGCTGGTGACTGGAGTCATTTTTGATAATCATGTCATGGGAGGGGAACACTACCCGCGTCTCCTGGGTAGGTGGTGGGAACAGAGACCCTAAACATCCTTAAATGCACAAGACAGTCCCCACGGCAAAGGGTATCCAGCCCAAAATATCAGTAGTATGATGGCTGAAAAACTAACTCTGTTTTAAAAGGATCACAGAAGCCAGAGAGCAGTTTGGGAAGCTGTTTCACTAATTAAATGAGACACAATCGGTTACCTAAATCAACATGCATTTTGCTGTTTGGGAGGATTGTTTTATTTTCATGTATTTTTTATTGAGCTGTAATTGATATAAAACTTTATATTAATTTAGGGTTGTATAGCATAGTAATTTAATATTTGTCTGTAGTCAGAAATGATCACCACAGTAAGTCTAGTTCACTTGTATCACTACATAGAGGTACAGTTATTTTCCTTGTGATGAGCACTTTCAGTCTACTCTTGGCAACTTTGAAATATGTAATGCCCTGTTGTGAACTTCAGTCCCCATATGGTATGTCACGTCTTCATGACTTACTTATTTTATAAATGGGGGTTTGTGCCCTTTGCCCATCTTCACTCATTTCACCCACTCCATACCTCCCATCCTTAGTAACCATTATTTTGTTTGAAGAAGACGTTTTGAGCATTAAGGATATACAATGATGTCGTTTGATGTTTGGGGTAGGAAAGGGAGATGAAAGGTGGCTGTGAGGTACTGAGTTGTTTGTTTGACTTGGCTTGGGGAGTGTGGGTAGGGACAGGTATTTATTTTGGCTTCTAGAAAGGGTGGGGAAGAGTCATCATTGACAGGTGGCCTGGGAGCTCAGGAGTATGGTGTAGACTAAAGATAAAGGTTTTGGAGTTGTTCAAATTGGAATAGCAGTTGACAAGATGACCAGACAGAGAGTGTATATGGATTAAAAAGAGGGCAAAGAACCCAACTCTGGAAGGGATGGACAGAGGAGAAAAAACCCAGGGGAACAGAGAATGGAATAACGGAGAATGTAGCAGAAAACCAAGGAGTCACAGATGCTGAAGGAGTTTTATTGTTGAACGTTCCTTCAGGCAGGGGAGAGCCGTGGCCTGCAGCCGGGCTGGCTCTTCAGCACCCGCATGGACACACTCCTGCTGCAGTGCTGACCGCTGCAGTCCCTGCATAGCCCCACTGGCGCTATGCAGTCCCTGCATAGCCCCCTGAGGGGTGGGTCGTTTAAGGCATCTTTGAAAAGTGGGTGTTATAGGAAGTTTGGAAATGAACATGGGGTTGGGCAGACATGGGCAGGGCTGTGAAGAATTTCGTGTAGTTGGAATTCTGTGACCTTCCCTGGGGGTTAAGTGCCAGAGGTCTTAGAACTCCGCATTAGTCTTTCTGGAACACCCATCCCGCACCCCGTCAAGCACACATGCCACGTCCACTCCAGTCACAGCAGGTGTTCAGTGCCCACTGGCTCTTTCACTCACACTTCAGTTATAAAATCTAAGGGACTCGAGTGAATTTTCAAACCAAAAGTCATTTTAATCTGTACTTTAAAAGTAGTGATGGGATCCTCCCTGGTGGTGCAAGGAGTCACAGAGCAACACTATGAAGCTAGCCACAGCCGCTGCAACACGAGTTTGATCCTGCCAGGGGGTGATCTGCATGGTGCGGCAGACCTCTCCTGTCTTACCCACTGCTCCCCTCAGCAGTGTATTGCAGCCAGTGTGCCTGTTCTGCTCCCCACTCTGTCTCTGGTGAATCCCCTCTCCCCCTCCTCCTCTTTCCTATACCCCAGTTCTTGCATGTGTAAATAAGTAAATCTTTATGAAAAAGTAGTGATAAGTGAAGATCCTGACTTAAGAGTAGATGCTAGTCCTCACAAGCCCTGGAGTTTGACCTTGGGAGAATGTATATTAAGCAAATGTTTACTCAGGAAAAAACAGTGTGTGTTCACCAACGCCCTGCTCACTATAGGTTACCATAATGGGAGATTGGGGAGCCCTGTAGACATTGTAACTTGACTCCTAAAATGTGCTTGAGAAAACTTCCTGTGATAGAGACAGGATAGAGGAACGGATGTCAGTTAAAGTCTTATGCAAAGAGTAGCTTGAATGGCGTGCAAGCTTGCTTCTTGAGTCCTTCAACATTGCTATCAGGAACATGGAAGAAGAAAATGTACAAGGCTTTCTTATCACATTTGTAAGGGATTCAAAAGTAGCTGTGTGAATGAATCAGGGAGACCTTGGAAGACTGAGTCAAAACAAGTATGATTATCCTTTTTGAAAAAAGTATGTTTTTCTTAGTTAGACAAGCAACAAATGTGCCTTGGAAGAAAAAGTCAGATCACAAAGTTCTAAGAAGGAAGTTGATACAAGTTACTCTTAGTGAAAACACACTGGCTTTTTCCCAAGTAAATATTTGTTTAATACACATCCTTCCAATGTCAGGCTTAATGTCTGAAGACTATCACCATAGATCAAATACACTTAAATTTTGATACATATTTCCAGTGACTCTTGAGACATACCACAGACATTTCCATTTGTCACATCATTTAAATACAAGTCTCCATGACCCATATACTCAGTGAGCTGCATGTTTATAAATTTTAGACATTTAAAATTACTGTTATCAAGACGAAGATTAATTGACATAAGTCCACTGTGTTGGATTTATAAATCATTTGCACAAATAGAGCAAACCCTAGAGGTCTGGTTTCAAGTCGTGGGGCTTTAATTGACTGCCAGCTCATGGAGGTCAGCAGTATGTGCCCCTGCTGTACGACAGGCCCCGGATGGAGCCAATGCCCCCAAGACCATTTCTCCTCCGTCATTTGTACACTAATCATTATTCTGCAGATTCTTGTCATTGACAGCCTATCCAGGAGGGAGAAAGGTCTGGAAGCTGTGAGGAATAGTGGAAGTGATGTGTACTTAACCTAGAGAAGGCAGCCTCAGTTAGTGTTCCTAGTTATTTTTGGATATTTGTAGTGTTGTCTTGTCTGGGAGTGCTTGGAGTTGCTTGGTGTTCAGAAGAAATAACTGAGACCAGTCAGTAGAAGTAGCAGGAAGGCAGATTTTGGTTCAGTATTGGGGTGGCTGTATTTTTCACAAAATCATTTGTGATCACAAATACATTTCGCCATCTTGCAAATGTGTTTGCCCGTCCCATCCTGTGCCCCTTTCCTCCAGAGGGTACATGATGCTTTTTGTCCTTGTTTTTGTAGTTTTACCACCTGTAATGTATGTACACGTGTAATGTGCCATATTATTTGGGCTTCTATGTCTCTTTTTGCAACATTCTTTTTACAGTCAACATAAATAGTATAGATCTAGTTCATTACTTTAAAATATCATATATAAACGTGTACTTATTTCTTGATTTTTATCTACAGAAGCATGTTAGGCCATTTCAGTCTATTTCCTTTACAATCAGTCCTACGTTGACTATCTTTTATATGTCAGGAGATACTTTTCCACTGGGGAGGGATTGAAGAGGGTGACTTCATGTCCCTTTAGCCCTAAGATTCAAAATTCAGTTTAATTCAACCAACATTTTCTAGTCTCTAGGGCTAAAAGATTGAGACATGAACCCTTCTCAAGAAATTCACTGTCTACAGACTCTAGATTTGTCTACTGAATTATTTGTAGTGTTATATTTAGGCATCTGCAGAGCTTGGCTGGTCTAGGCAGTCAGTTACCTTTACTATGTTTGACAACAGTCTGGGGTACATAGAATTTTTGGTATAGTTTTCAACTTCTGGTGTCCATGTTAATTAATATGCACATTGGAGATTATTTCTTTTCTAGAGCTGCCCCTGTTTTAAGATTAAAACTTAAGATTTTATGTTAAAAACATTTTTTCAGCTTCTTTCACCCTTCCTGTTGATATTGCTCCTTAAATAATTAATAAATGCTGCATATGGTATGTTTTTTCTGTGTGTTGTGTGTCCATATGTATTGTGTTTTTAGGAAAAAGGCCCAGCTCAAGAAAAAAAGAGGTGTGCCTCAGATTAATGAGCAAATGCTCTTTCATGGTACCAGCAGTGAGTTTGTGGAGGCCATTTGCATTCATAACTTTGATTGGAGAATAAATGGGATACATGGTGCTCTCTTTGGAAAAGGTAATTATCAGAATTCCACTTCCAATGCTAGTCCTAGGAGACAGTCTCTCTCTTTAGAGTTAGTGGACTGCTCAGTACTTAAGTGATTTGATAGTTATTAAATTAAAGTCTACTGCACTAGATTCTAGGCTTGCCCTCCAAGTTTCTCCATCTCAGAAAAGCCACTTCTGGCCTGTCCATGATGGCAGTCGGACTTTTACTCCTCTACCAGGTTAAGTAACTTCTCCATGATGGCAGTCGGACTTTTACTCCTCTACCAGGTTAAGTAACTTCTCGAGTGCCAGTCATCAGCTGGCACAAAGTGTGCAGATGAGCTGAGTTTTGCATTACCTTTACTTTCCATGTGCAAGTCCTCTTCATAGACAAGCTTAAGCAAGAGGATAGGTACAGACCTAGGTATGAGTATTGTTTAGCTTGTTTTGTATTTTAGAAAATGATAGGCAAGACTATGAGTGAGCAGTCAAGAATAATGAGGAAAATCCTCACGTTTTTCTAATGGTGGGAAAGTCCAGGTTCTTAAGTTTAAGCCCACTGTTCAAGCAAATTAAGGAGAGATGAGGGGGAAGCATTTGTTTTTCTAGTCCTTGCTTTGGATCTGACCTCCATCACAAGAACTGGCTTCCACTCAGAGTCAGGATGTGCTGCATTTAAAAAAAAAATAAGTTAATTAAAAAAAAAATCACTGAAAGGGCCATTCTATTTACTTAATGCTAAGAGAACCAGAAAAGTGTTATAAATCTCATTACTGCTGGGCGATATGAGACTTTGCAGCTCTTTTCAGTTTTTTCAGATACTCCTTCAGATACTGACTTCAGAAGTCAGCCATTTCAGGGGAGTCAGATGCTTTTTGGGGGGTTTCCTATCAGGCAACAAAACAGTCTGCTGTTGGAAGGCTTACATAGGAATCACATTGCATTCTCTTCAGAAATCTTCTCCTGGATATGGGCTTCTTCAGCTCTAGAAATATTGAATTGTCTCTTTGTAGCATAGAAATGTGGTTCCGGGGACTAGAAATCACCCTTCTAGACCAGTAGTTTTCATTGTGTTCTCCTGAGTTTCTGTGGGTGTTGGGCAAGGGTGGGGGGAGGATAAAGTGGTAGAAGGTAGAAGGAAGGAAACATGGGAGGGAGGTCCGGTCCCAGCAGTTAAAACTCAGGTCCTGCCATACTTGCTCCCCAGAAACAGTGTCTGTCTTACAGACTAGCTATTTTAGTGGGATTTCTTTTGAAAACAGAAGGCTGGTAGTTACTCTTCGGTGGGCCCGGGGGATAGTGTCATTGGTGGGCGGGTCTATACTAAGGTATCCGTCCCCGTGACAGTCTGCTCCCGGATGTCCCTAACGGATGAAGGTGCCTCATAAAGTTTACCGAAGAGGAGATTCCACATCTATTTTTGTTACACAATTCCATGAGTCGATTCCTTTGACAATCACAGTGTTCTTGCTGGTTCTTCACATATTCTTCAGAGTAATCTTGGCTCTTGTCTTTTTTTTCTTTTTCTTCTTCTTTTTTTTTTTTTTTTGGTTCTTTTTATTTAAGGAACCTATTTTGCTAGAGACGCTGCTTATTCCAGTCGCTTCTGCAAAGATGATATAAAGCATGGAAACACATTCCAAATCCATGGTGTAAGCCTGCAACAGCGGCATCTGTTTAGAACACATAAGTCTATGTTTCTTGCTCGAGTGCTAATTGGAGATTACATAAATGGAGACTCCAAATACATGCGTCCTCCTTCCAAAGACGGGAGCTATGTGAATCTATATGACAGCTGTGTGGATGACACCTGGAATCCAAAGATTTTTGTGGTGTTTGATGCCAACCAAATCTATCCTGAATACTTAATTGACTTTCACTGATCTCACTTCCAAATCTCAGTGGTCAAAGAAGTTTTATTCTTTTTCACAGGAAGATTTGATCTCCTGTCATCTAGCCACTACCTGTTAATTATCTGATCCTTTTGAACCAGATAGGAGACAAGGTGGCCTCCATATGAAAAGACATACTGACGTTAAGGTTGGTTTTTCCGTTGTTTTGTTTTGTCCGTTACAGTCTTTTTTGTTGACGATTGGTGCCATTGCCTTTTTAACACGTGGGGTGAAAGATACTACTTAAAATGGAATCAGCCTAGTCTCAATTACCACAATCATTCACGGTCCTTAAAATTTACATGTGTGTTATCAGGATAAATTTCATCAGTTCAAATAGACGTATCCATCTATCTGTTCAAAAAATAAAAATACAGTCCTAAACGTGTCCCTTCAAGGAGTTGGTCCTTGCTACACTGGATTCTGATGTGGATTCAGCCCGTGGGATCCATGTGTTGCTCTGCTGGCCTTCTGACGGGGCTGTAGAGCCGGCCACGTGCTCACTGCCTGGGAGGAGCCAGGACCGCGGCAAGTCCTGGTAGCTCGGCCAGACAAGCAGCAGGGAAAGGCAAGGCAGGCTCCCTGCCTCCTGTGCCTGAGGACTTGGCTGCTCTTGGGCACTCTTGTCCTCTCTCTCCTACGTCTCCCTGACAAATGCCGCCACCAGTACAGTTCATTCGCTGGGCTCTAGAATTCTTGTGCCAGGACTTGGTACACAAGGGGTTATTGCAGCTTCAAAGTGAAGCTTTTATTTATTATTGACAACTTGTATTTTTCCTGTATTTTGGAGTCCCTGCAATGATTACTCTTAAATTCTTTTTATCTGCTCTCCCACCATACACACTACAATTAGTGATGACTTATGAAATTCACTTGTCTAACTTGTATCTTCCCATTTTGAGTCATCATAGAAAACAAAGGATGCTCAGAACAAGTCTAGTTTGTTCTTTTGAGTAGCAGTTAACAATCGGCTAACTTTCTTGAAAAGTTAAATATAATTCATAACCATGTTTAATGGAAATTTGTTTATATGTTCCATCTGTTTTATTACCCTAGACTAAGGTGGAATAACTAATGTTACAACAGTTTCCTGTCTCTAAACATATTCTAGCCGTGGCCGAGAGCCACGAGGCCGAGATGGTACTTAGGAGTCAGGTATCGGGGGATCTGGCCATAGGATTGTGAAACGTTTTCCAACCTTAATAGTCCATGATTGTACCTGGGGGGGGGGGCGGTGGGAGGGGGGCACTTTTATCAAAACTTTCCAGGTGGCCTTTTTCAGACTTAGTCTAAATTTTCACTAACTCAATCAATACTAAATCATCTCCCCATTATCCTTACCAAGTTTTGATTGAGAGGTAGTGACCATAACTTCTCAAGGAAACTCTAGCAAGTAAATGTCTATACCTGTGGTGTTTTGTTCAATCATTTGATCTGGAACAGTATCTAGAAATAACAAAAATAAAGACTATGGATTAAGAGTAGGAATGGTACTTCTTCAACTGCCATATATGTCCAGATTTTTATTATGGCCCAGAATGTACAGTCGGAATTCAAGTCGTACACAGGAAATCTAATGGACCTACCTAGGAACCCAGCAACAATAAAGATTTCCTGACTCAAGGGTACACAGACAGTGGTTTAGAAGAACTGTTGTGAAAATTTACAAAGAATACATTTGAGAAGCTTACAGAGATCATTAGGAAAATAATCGAAGCCACTAGAGTATACCACCATTTCCTAGATGTTCACAAAAAATAATGGGACAATAGGAGTTCAGATTTTGAAAATCTTGTTGTTGTCATACCAAAAAGAAAAAAAGTTAAAATAGTCTCTACTTCAGCTTGGCTGTCACTTTTCTAACTTATTTGTTCTACCATCACTCGAATGGAATAATGTTGTTTCCTTTGAGGGTTATTTTCTCTTAGGTACGTACCAGTCTTATCTCCAGGTGACCAAGAACCCAGCGTCAAAACTTGCACAGCAATCTGTGAGAATCCTCTACTGAGCTAGTTGACTCCTGTGTAGTGAGTAGACAATGTAAGAGCCAACTGTACTGTTAACTCTTGTCTGGGAATGTATTGCCAACTCCCCTTTTATATATATAAAAAAAGCTGACTTTTATAACTTTTCTAACTGTGATAATTTAGAATTAATTGATGTTAAAATTCTATTTCTTTGGATCAGTAAATTGAGTTACAAATCCTAATCAATTTATAATACAATCAGACACAACCATTGCCATCGCTTATTATCAGTGGGCAGAGTGAAGAAAAGGTACTACAGTAATGGATTGTTTTAAAAATCCTATACAGATAAGTCCAGCAGATAAGTACTACTTTTTTTTTTTTAACTTTGGTGATATCAGTCTCAGGGTTAAAAAAAAAAAAAGGTTTATAAGAAACTGTTTCATAAATCTTGCAGTTATGAACAGAAAGATTTTGTATCAGAGCAACATTTCATAGGCTGTTATGGTAATGCTGATAAAAGAATTTGGGGCCATTTTTGATATATGAGCTATATTGTTTGTACATGTGGTGATTAAAGCTTTCCATAGCCCATCCTGGTTGTCTGTGTGTGCCATGTATTTGTTTCTGTGGTTTCTATGTCTCATCTCCACAGTGCATTATTCAACCTGACTTTCAGCTCAGATGTCATAGACTCTCAATGAGTTTGTTGGCTGTAACTGTCAGGTAACCTACATGTACAAAGAGAAATCTCCTCAGTTGGAATCATTGGGTAGCTTGTGAGGAAAGTCATCTGTTCCATGCTGTTGAAAATTCCCAAACAGATCAAGGCCGCCTCCTGACAGCGGCCTCTGCTCTGGCTGTGCTCCCCTAGCCCAGGAAGCAGTCTGGAGGGTGTGTGAGGTTCACCCACACATCAGGCCTCCTGCAGCCCATCCAACCCCATCTCATCCCACTATGCCTATAGTGATTGCTTTGAAGCAACTTAAGACGTTTCATTTAATCCCCAAGCTCCAAAACGGGGAATGCATCAAAAGGTCTCTAATTTTAGATCTGAGAGAAATGAGGGATGATCAGAGCTTACCTGTGCAAACAAATCAAGTTTTCTGTTCATTAAAATCATGCCCCAGTCTATTAACAAGGCTCATTTTGATGAAAACTCAACTGAGCTTTGATTGATGATGTAGAAATGTGATACCTTTTCAAGTCTTGTTTATAGGTGTTCAGGTAGTGGAGGTTACATCACAGGTCATCAGGAACAACACAAGAAATATAAATATAACAGCCCTAGTTGATCCCAGATTGTGCTCTCTCTCCTTGAGGAAGGATACTTGGTTAATTTTTTAAATAAACATTTTATTTTACTTCAAGCAGAGAGATGGCCCATTTCCAGATTAAATGTCAGATCCTGTCTTTGTACAGTTGTGCGGGGCTTAGTCACAGGGATAGAACCTGAGGATTTCACCCTTGGGCAACTGTGTGCAGAGGTAGCACTAGCAGTGAATCGTGTACAGAAATAACACGAGATTAAATCAAGGAAAACAGTGCTGTCAAAAGATGCAGGAAACTCGAGATGAATGAGGCTGCTGCTGGAGTAAATTGCTAGAACCTTCGTGTCACTACTGCTGTGACGTCATGAGGCCTCCAGGGGCCACTGTCGTATCCGTAGCTCATCACTGACCAAAACGTTACATGGTGGGTTATTGTACAAAAGGAACATAAAATGTGTTTAAAAAAAAAAAAAAGGAAAAACAAAGCTCTGTCAAAAATTGTATTTGCTTAGAAAACGATCAAAGGGATTTTACTTTTACCCCTTTGCACCATGTGCAGAAAGGTTTGGTGAAGCAGCTGCCCTGCCTCTCTGCCAGTGAATAATGTTACGATTTTGCTTGGGGCAACATAGATGGAAGAAATGACATTTCAAAGAAATATGAAGTATGTGATTATTTGGGGGAGGCTTGGTCATTGTGAGTAATAGATAGGGGTGAGTCCTGATGACCTTTAGCTTCTCTTTCGGCAGAAATAGTTTGCTTCTCCTGTTTTCAGAGCCCAGGCCAGAGGTGGGTTGGAAGCTCTGTAGACTTCTCATCTCCTGCTCCTTCCCGTGTACCTGATCCACCCCCCTGAGAAGACATCTTGGTTATTGTTACTACGCAGCCAGTAAACGCCTTGCTGCCTCTGGTGTGTGTCTCCTGCTGTAAGAGGACGCAATCTGTTTTCGCAGCTAACTACTCAACTTGCACTCTTCAGCACCGCAGGCTAAGAACTGGGCTTTAACTTGAACTTTCTCACTGTGCAGCACCTAAAAATTAAGTGTTGGTCTTATTCATCTTTTAAGTGGCATTCACGAGATTGGAACACAGAGTTATCCCAAAGGCAGTTGTGTTTTCTGCAGCTCCTTAGCTTTCCTATCCCCCCTCCCCACCACCAAGAGGTCACCCAGTTAGCTGATTCAGCGTGTACCTACCCACCCACTCTATGCTAAGTGGGTTTAGGAGAGTCACAGTTCATTTAACACACTCATTCTGTGATATCAATTACAAACCCAGATTGTGTTTCTTGTTCTTTTTGAGAAACACCTGAAGGGCTCCATGTGCTTCCGTGTCTCCCAGAGAACTAGGAAGCCCAGGGCATTCCCTCCACATTTGATTGATGTTCCCAGAGCATCACTGTTGGCGCACATTTCTACCTCTTTATTCCTTTAACAAGGAGATAAATAACCAACTTGGAAGCCCCTGACCTGAGTTTTATTTCTGGCTTGCTCTTTGACCCTTCCCTCCCCCCAACCCCCAGAAGTAACTCCCCAGGGGTAAACTTCAGAAAGTGAAGTTTAAGAAGGATTGATCAGATTCTTGTTAAAAAAAAAAAAAAAAAAAAAGCTATGGCTAGATTTCTCAGACCAAATTGAGGATGGCTTTTGAGTTTGGGCCAAGGAAATAACAGTGGCTGGATCCTGACGCTTAAAATAGCTCAAAGAGATTGGAGTAGGAAGGGAAGGGAATCCACCGGGTTCTGCCTGAATCTCTACTGTCATTTTGCCCCCCTTATTCAAGCGCAAAACTCTTTAAGTTCCTGTGTGTGCGGGCAGAGGGCACATTGAGCGTGACCTCTGCTCTCCGGGCTACAAGTCTGGCAGGGAGGCCACGCATGGAACTTAATGACCGCTTTGCCAGAGCTCAAGTTCAGAGCGGAACAAGAGCAATGACAAAGGCGTCTGACTCACTCTAGGGAGCTAGAGAAGATCTGAGAGGTGAGTAGGTTCTAGGTAGATGAAGTATTGATTTTACATCCTCCTGGCCACACACAACTGTGTCACATCAGGTTTTAGGGACACAAGAAAAACCAGGAACGGGGTAGAGGATTTGGGGGCTTTTTTCCCCAAAGATTGATTTATTTATGCATAAAGAACAGGTACAGGGCCAGTGAGAGGATTCTCCGGAGACAGAGTAGGGAACAGACAAATTGACAAAGTACACTGCTGAGGGGAGCAGCGGGGGTGTCAGGAGAGGTCTGCCGTGCCATGTGGGTCACCTGCTGGGCTGGGGATCGAACTCATGCGGAAGTGGCTGCAGCTTGCTTGCCCTGCTGCATTTTAACCTGCTGAGCCACCAGGGAGGGCCCTGTAGCATTATTTTTTCCCCATTAAAACGAAGGCTACAGAATCAAAGCCACTCAACCAGAATGTGTTGCCACCCACAACTGGGGTCAGGACTTAACACGAAGAGGTCCATGAAGAGAGGATTCTTTTTTAGATTTATTTATTTGTGCATACAGAACTGGGGTACAGGCCAGAGGCTCAAGGGCGGTGAGAGGATTCACCAGAGACAGAGTGGGGAGCAGAACAGGCAGATCAATGAAGTACACTGCTGAGGGGAGCAGCGGGCAGGTCAGGAGAGGTCTGCCTCGCCATGTGGTCACCTCGGGGACAGGCGGGAATCTAACGCATGCGGAAGCGGCTTTAGCTTCTTAGTGCAGTGCTTTAACCCGCTGCGCCACCAGGGAGGGCCGAAGAGAGGATTCTTAACTAAGAATTGAGGTGCTTGTCCCTTTGCTGCCTCCACCACCCCCCTCCCCAGGGGTCCAGTACTCACTTAGCTCTCTGGGGCTTCAAAGCTCTATTTATCTGAAGCATGGGCTATGGAGTCAGATACCCACTTCAAATCCTGGCTCCACCACTAGCAGCTGCCTGGCCTTGGGGAGGTCACTTAACCTCTCTGTGCCTCAGTCTCCTCACTTGTAAGTCGGGATAAT